ATTTACTTTTTATCACTAAAAATGCTCTATCATCTGGGATATTTTTCACATTATTTTGAAATTTTTAACTTATAGGCAAAAAATGTTACTTAGAATAATGCTATTTTTAAAAAGTAACAGAATACATACAGTCATTCAGAAAAGAATATAAGAGACAAAATAAACCTTACAGACTTACCAGGTGTGTTATTGAGCTGCATGTTTTTAATTCTTTCATTTAATAATTGCTTCTCAGGTACCAGATAGATAAGCTTATTTTGATATTCCTTACAATGAGAAAAAAAATAGTGCCTGATTAATTTCTATAATACAGTCCAGGAATTTATTTAAAACTTTAAAACAGGATGTAATCACTTTTAAAACTCAGTATGGAAATAATATGTAGTTGTAAACCGCTTACAATGTATGAATCAACTAGAATGGGATTATGTATGATTTAAAAAACAAATATTTAAACATAAATCTATTTCAAATGACTGGCTGAAATTAAAAAGCAGTGAAGAAAGCCTTTGTAAATGGGGTGTGTCTAGAAGCCTACAATTTTCAGTGTACTGGTGAATGACAGTGGGCAAATGCTATGAGGTACCTGCACTAGAAGGTGTGTATAAGCGGGCCATGATACTCCGGGATGAATATGTGTATATCAAAGTGGGACTAAAAACTCAGGGATAACTAGGGAAGTAAGTTGAAATCAGACAGGAAATGTTTTTGGCTTTAGTCTATTATCTGTTGTGACAAAGCGAAAAGATGTATTAATTGCCAGTCCGTACCATATGAGAAAGTGGATAGGAAGATTCTAGAGATGCATGATGCTTCCAGAGCTCCTATTCTGCAAACAATAATAATTGAGCCAGACCCTATTGCATGAGTACAGAAGAGAATTACCAGGTCCCTGAGGGACATAGTCAACACTCTCAGCACAATTCTAAAAACAATAACTTTAAGACAATATTTCCTAAAATTAGTAGCAATAACTTTATTTTAATGTATTTTATGGTCTGAATGTTGGTGTGCCCCCAAAATTCATATGTTGGAAACTAACCGCCAATATAATTAAGAAGCAGGGCTTTAGGAGGTGATTAAATCACGAAGGATTTGCCCTCATGGATGGGATTACTGACCTTTCATAAGAGATTGAAGGGAGCTGCCTTGCCCTTTCTACCACAGGAAGATACAGCAAGAAGGTGCCACCTCTGAAGCAGAGAACAAGCCCTCAACCAGAAACTGAATCTGTTGGCACCTTGATCTTGGACTTCCCAGTCTCCAGAAGTGTTAGCAATAAATTCTGTTGCTTATAAATTACCCAATCTAAGGTATTTTGTTACAGCAGAAGGAATTAACTAATACAAATGTATAAACCCATTTTTTATTAAAGAGTTAAAACTCAAAATGATAAATGTCCATTTATGTAAAAATATTAAGCAGAACTTAACGAAATGCCTAACAGAGTTTTAGGAGGTCTATGGGCTTCCTGATTGTATACAAGATTGTGTGTATTTAGATCACAAGCCTATCAGGGACTCAAAGGGCTTCATGACCCCAAAAGCAAAACTGTTAATAACCACACATCTTTAAGGACAATTTAGCAGCCAAGGACTTACCTGAAGTTCCTGTTGAAGTTGCTTGATTTCCATAATTTCCAGGTCACACTGCTTATCCAGAACTTCCAGCTCAGTCTTTTGAGTTTGCTTTCTCAGTCGGACATCTTGAAGTCTGCCTGAGATCTGTTGATGTTTGCCATTCTATAGGAAGATCATACAAATATACGGCAACATAAAATGCTACTGGAAATGTTTACCAGGAGCATAATACTTTTATTTAGCTAAATTTTTAAATGTCATTTATCATTCATACTCAGTCTAAAATAAATGTCTAAAACCAAGTGGAATATGATTTAGAGTTGTATCTGTTAACTCAAGAGAGTTATTAGCTGGAAACATATCATTCTGATAATGCAAGAGCCCATATGTTAAGATGAGAACACAAAAACATAACACACTGAATTTTTTTCTGAATTCAGCATTTAGGCATTAATTTATAATATCAGAGACGATCTCAAAAATAATGAGGAATAAATGTTTGCATGTGATGCTTAGCATTACTTTCTCTGAGCTTCTATTTCTACCTTTAACATTGCTATCTAATTTCTTCTAATTAAATAGTGTCCAGGAGGACCTTTTTGGCCACAATTCTCTTCTATACTAATATTCCTTTATGTAAGCAAGAAGTACCCTTTCTTCCTCTTCTTCTTCCAAGGAAGGAAAAAACCCCAGAAAACAGATATTTTTAATGGGGCCTGAGAAGGGTAGGCGGCCATATGCAAGCCATGGAGAGAGGCCTCACAAGAAACCAAACCTGTGGACATCTTGATCTTTTTTTTTTTTTTT